TCTCAATCCGTGAAGCTCTGTGAATATTTTCCAAGAGTGCGCGCGGCGCTAAGGCGAGAGCCACACTTTGCAAACGGCCCTCCCTCAATCCGTGACACTCTTGCATGTTTTCAACGCGTGTTCGCGGCGCTATGGCGAGAGCAACATTTTGAAGACAACCCGCCCTCAATCCGTAAAGCTCTTGCATTTGTTTCAACGAATGTGCGGGGCGCTCAGGCGAGAGGCACATTTTGAAAGCGACCCCCCCGCAATCCGTGAAACTTCTGCACATGCATAAAACGAAGGTGCGCAGAGCTAAGTCCAGAGCCACATGGTGAATACCACCCGCCCCCATGTGTACTGTTGGCAATTTGAATCATCAAGGCCATAAATGGTGAGGAATTATCAAGCGAAGCGCCCGGCCCGCCCGTTCGACCGGCCTCGGGTTGCGACAGGGAGGAGTTATTTGATGAGGAAAGGGAGTGGAGGAGGAGGAGGAGGAGGAGGCGGAGCAGGGAGAGGGGGAGGGGGGGAGGATGGGGCGGAGGATGAGGAGCAGGAGGAGGAGGAGGAGGAGAGAGGAGGAGGAGCAGGATGATGCGCAGGCCTACTAGTCTCACCAGCAGGCTTAAACAAATTCTTTACGCTTCGCGTATCCCCACCAGCCCATCTCACAGCAGCAACTCTTGCGAAGCATGCCGACAGTCGTGTTGTTCAGGCGTGTGTCCGCTTGGCCCCGCATATCTCCCCTGTTCCTCCTTCCTCCCGCCTCCTTGTACATCGTCCTTGTGGGGGGAGCGGGAGAAGGACGAGGCGGAGGAGGAGGGAGAGAAAGCGCTCCTCGTGATTTGAGTCGTTTGGGGTTTCTCGTCCTGGTGTGAGTCGTTCGGGCCCTTCTTCCTGGTGTGAGTCGTCCGGGCTCTTCGTGGTGTGAGTCGTTCGGGCTCTTCGTCCTGGTGTGAGTCGTTCGGGCTTCTCGTGGTGTGAGTTGTTCGGGCCCCTCATCCTGGTGTGAGTCGTTCGGGCCCCTCCTCCTGGTGTGACTCGTTCGGGCTCCTCGTGGTGTGAGTCGTTCGGGGCCCGCGTCGTGGTGTGAGTCGTTCGGGCTCCTCGTGGTGTGAGTCGTTCGGGCGCCTCGTCCTGGTGCGAGTCGTTCGGGCTCTTCGTGGTGTGAGTCGTTCGGGCTCTTCGTCCTGGTGTGAGTCGTTCGGGCTTCTCGTGGTGTGAGTTGTTCGGGCCCCTCATCCTGGTGTGAGTCGTTCGGGCCCCTCCTCCTGGTGTGACTCGTTCGGGCTCCTCGTGGTGTGAGTCGTTCGGGGCCCGCGTCGTGGTGTGAGTCGTTCGGGCTCCTCGTGGTGTGAGTCGTTCGGGCGCCTCGTCCTGGTGTGAGTCGTTCGGGCCCCTCCTTGTGGTGTGAGTCGTTCGGGCTCTTCGTGGTGTGAGTCGTTCGGGCCCCTCGTCCTGGTGTGAGTCGTTCGGGCTCCTCGTGGGGCCTCTTGGGGGCCTCTTGGAGCCTCTTGGGGCCTCTTGGGGGCCTCTTGGGGGCCTCTTGGGGGCCTCTTGGGGGCCTCTTGGGGCCTCTTGGGGCCTCTTGGGGGCCTCTTGGGGGCCTCTTGGGGGCCTCTTGGGGCCTCTTGGGGGCCTCTTGGGGGCCTCTTGGAGGCCTCCTGGGAGCCTCCTGGGGGCCTCTTGGGGCCATCTTGGGGCCTCTTGCGACCTCCTCAGAAGCGCAAATGAGCGCTGCCCCCTGAGAAGGACAAAATGAGGCCAAAACCTTCGTAAAATCAACGATTTTGCTATGGAGGAAGAGAGGCACCGTAGTAAAATCAATGTTTTTGGCTTCGAAGACGAGTTGAGGCGCCAAACTCTGCCCCCCCGTCGGGGCCAGAATCCTCGTGAGGGTCGTCGGTTTTTGGCCCTCCCAGGAGTCGAAAAAGGCCCCCCTGAGAACACTCGGGGCTCCCTGTCCAGGCCCAGGGGGAGGGGGTAGGGGGAGGGGTAAACCCCTCCCCGAAGGGGAAGAAGGGGGGTTGGGGGGTTGAGAACAGAGGAAGCTCTCTAAACCACTCACGCCCAAAGGGCTGGGCGGACTAGGGAGCGACGATATTCAAATAGCAGCCACCCTAGTCGCGCGGTGCGTGGCCGCTTAGGGGAATACCCGTTCGCGGGTGACACCCTGCCTTGAGGTTTTTGGAGGCTGTGCAACGCTGACGGCTAATTTGCCATGTGACGGGGCCATCACAGGAGTTCATCAACACTGGCGATTACCGGGTGGATGCTGATCCACCGCAGTTAAGACAGTAAGGGAAAGGGCCCGTGGTGACGAGGTGGTGGCCACGCACGAGCGCATAGGAAGCCTCAGGGGTGTTACTAGACAAAGTGGGCCCCTGAGGAGGCTGACAGGCGCTGGGTAGACTAGACACAGTACCGCCCGCTAGCACAGGAAGCCCTGTCCCCAGACATGCGACTGCCGGATTTGTACAGGGGGAGGTGCAATCAGACGGAAAGACAAGGGAGGGAATTGGAAAGGAGGATGACCCGACATGTTGATTTCGACGCATGGGGGCGCGGCGCAAACATAATAGTCACACGTGTGAGCGTATGTTCAACATTCGCAATTATCTTGGCACTAGGAAGTACTCCCAGCCTTGCCATTGACAGACAGGGGGAGGGGGAACAGGGGGGTGACGAGGGGGGAGGGCAGGAGGCAGCAGTAGGAGGATGGGAATGAACAGTTGGAAGTGAGGGATTGGTGGGGGGAATAGTGGGGAGCACGAGGAGGGGGAGGCGGATGCGCAGGCATGCGAAGACGAGATGGAGGGGGATAGAGCATGGAGTAAGGAGGGTTCAGGATGGAGGAGGGAAACAGGAAGGGGGAGCAGGGAATAAGGCGGGCGGAGGCAGGAAAACGGACAAGGCGGCGTCAGAGGAGGCAGTGGGGGGAGAAGGAGGAAGAGGAGGAGGAATCTACTGATGCTTAGGATGGGTCGCGAGGCAGGAGGAGAGAGGAGGCAGGGGGAGTCGGAGGGTTGATGGTGGTGGTGAGGATGATGACGCTGATGTTGATGTTGATGATAATTACGATAGTGCTGATGTTGTTGATGCTGATTATGCTGATGATGATGATGATGATGCTGATGATACTGGTGATGATGTTGATGATGTTGATGATGCCGATGCTGATGATGATGAGGTTGGTGATGATGATGATGATGATGATGATGATGATGATGCTGATGTTGTTGATGATGATGATAATGATGATGATGATGCTGATGATGATGATGATGATGATGGTGGTGAGGATGTCGATGCTGATGCTGACGCTGCTGGTGATAGTGGTAATGCTTCGGATGATGGTAGGGACGAGGAGGAGGAGCAGGAGACGGAGGAGGACGTTGGAGAGGACGAGGAGGAGGCGGAGGAGACGTGGGGGAAACACGACGAGGGAGGAGCAGGAAAAAAACGAGGAGGTGGATGATGGAGTGATGAGGAGTGATGGGGAGGAATGATGGGGAGGAAAAAACGGGAAACAAGCGGGAGGAGTGATGGGGATAGTAGTGAGGGGTGATGATAGGATGATGATGATTCTGATGATGCTGCTGATGATGATGCTGCTGATGATGTTAACGATGCTGATGTTCATGCTGCTGATGATGATGATGATGACGAACCGTCTGATGATGTTGTTAATGATGATGATGCTGCTGATGATGTTGGTGCTGCTGACGATGGTGATGTTTGTGGTGGTGATGGTGATGACGATGATAAGGATGACGATGACGATGATGGTGATGCGGATGATGGTGATGATGATGCTGATGATGATGCTGATGATGATGCTGATGCTGATGATGATGATGATGATGATTGTGGTGGCGATGATGATGATGACGACAATGCTGACGATGCTGATGCTGCTGCTGATGATGATGGTGATGGTGGTAGTGATGATGATGCTGATGCTGATGATGATGATGATGACGATGCTGGTGGTGTCGATGAGAAGGACGATGATGAGGATGATGATGACGATGATGATGATGATGCTGATGATGATGATGATGATAATGATGCTGTTGATGATGACGATGATGATGATGATGATGATGATGATGATGATGATGATGATGATGATGATGATGATGATGATGATGATGATGATTATTACGATTCTGATGATGAGGATTATGATGACTCTGCGGGTGCATATGAGGATAGTGATGAGGATGAGGATGAGGATGAGGAGGATGATGAGGATGGTAATTGTGATGCTTATGATGATGGTGATGATGATGATGATGATGAGGAGGAGGAGGAGGAGGAGGAGGAGAAGGGGGAGGAAGAGGAGCCAGAGTAGGAGGAGGAGGAGGTGGAGGAGGAGGAGCATAAAAGAGAAGGAGGAGGAGGAGGAGGAGGAGGAGGAGGAGGAGGAGGAGGAAGACGATGAGGAGGAATAGGAGAAGGAGGAAGGGGAGGAGGAGGCGGAGGAGGAGGAGGAGGAGGAGGAGGACGAGGAGGAGGAGGCGGAGGAGGAGGAGCAGGATAAAGAGGAAGAGGAGGAGGAGGAGGAGGAGGAGAAGGGGAGGAGGAGGAGGAGGAGGACGAGGAGGAGGAGGATGAGAAGGAGGAGTAGCAGGAGGAGGAGGAGGTGCTGGTGCATGGGGGCTGACTAGCCGGACGCAGGCGCGCGCCAAATTGCTGGAGCAGCTGGGGGCAGACCGAGAGCGGCTGACGGCGGAAGCGGAAGGCCTGTCGCGACAGTTGGCCGAGGAGGCCCGCCAGCGGACGTTGCTGCAGGAGCTGGGCGGGCTCTTTTTCTATGACGAAGAGGTGTTTGCGCTTGTGCGTGTGCGTGCCTTCCACATGCACGCGCCTTCTGACCTTCTTCTGCGCGGGACTGTGACCATCCAGTCCACCCAGCTGCTTCGCCAGGTGGATCTTCGCCTAAGGGTGCCTTGGCTCAGCGCTTTGCGACGGTGCCGCCGATTCGCCGCTTGAGGAAAGGGTGCGCGCGCGTGTGTGTGTGTGTGTGTGTGTGTGTGTGTGTGTGTGTGCCTGCGTATTTGTGTCTTGCTGAGAGCACAGATGCGCATGCCTCTCTTCACCCAACCCTCCATTCGCCGTCTCTTCCTCCCTCGTCCCTGGGTCCCTCCCTCCTCCCTGCCTGCTTCCTCCTTCTGCCCTCGTTTCTCTTCTCTCTTGCTCGTCTGTCCTCGAGGCGCCTGCAATTCTTGAGGTTCTGCAGTCCTCGAGCGCCTAGAGCGTCCTCGACAGTATCTACCACAGTGCCATGCCAAGCGTCAAGTGAACCAAGTGTGGTCAATGAAACAATCCGCCCTTTCTTCCGGCAGGTTTGCGGTGGTGGCACCAGCACGCTCTCTTCAAGAGAGTCGGGCGTTGTGGCAGCGCCTCGTCAGAACCTCGACGCGTTGTTGTCTTCCCATGGTCTAGGAGGTGGCAGGCGGCGGGGACCCGCAAGCACTGCCATGCTCTGGTGGACTGTCGACCCGCATGCGTGACTTCGTCACCAACGACGAGCGGGTGTAATCACGCAGCGGGCGCGTGGCGTGGCGACGGGTCGCGTTTCCGTGCCGAGTCGGCGCGCTCCGTCGCCAAAAATCAGCGGCGTGGCCTCACATTTCGGAGAGTGCCTTCACCGATCCGGTGATCTGGTGCCCACTCGGCAGACCCACGGATCCCTAATTCGTGTTCGCGTGTGCCCGACAGAACCCCTCCAGGCGCGTCGCGCGATTCACCCTCAGGATCCGACGTTGCGAAGCAATTGCAGCACCAAGGAAAATCGCGACCAGAGCCCCAGACCCCTATCTTTCGGCGCCATTTTTGGAGCTGGATCGATCCGAGATGCTCCTGGGTCCCGAAGACGGGCGAACACGCCTGGCGCGAGAGCGCTCGTGTCCTGGTCATCGCCGTCGTCCGGACTTTGGGGGCCAGCGCGGGGTTACAGTCGAACCGAGGTATAAGGTCGAGGTCGGTTTGGGGAGGGTGCCCCCCTGATGCTCTTTGTGCGTGTTGGATGCTCTTGTTTATCCTGTGGAAGGGCACCCTCGAGTGTTCCTCAGTTTGGCTGACGAAGGGTCTCATGTTCTTGGAGGGCGCCCTTCTGTCCTAGGTCCGACTGTATCCCTGAGCCAGCGCCCCCATGGCGTTCTTCTTGGTCGTGCCCGTGGGGGTGGAGGTCACGGCGCTTCCCGCGCCACCCCTGGGTCAGGCGCTTCAGGATTGCTTTGGTAATTTGCCTGTCATGTCAGCTGGGAGGCCCAGCCCGCGGGCGGCCGAAGGGTGCCCCGAGGGCGAGGAGGCTGTGTAAGGTGCTCCGTCGCTTGGCGCCCTACGGCGGCGGCGGCGGCGAGGGCGGCGGCATAAATGCGAGTCAGAGCTTTTTGTACAGCGAGAGGATCTCCGAGATTGTCCAGCTGTTCTGACGATCACGTCCGCCTCCGCGCTCCGGGGGGAAGCTGCGCTGCGACGCAGCGCGGCACGGCAGCAGCCCGCCTGACGCTCTTGCCTGGCCTATGTATGGCCTCGCCGCCGCGTCTTGGGGACCTCAGTGGGTATGATGGGCCGATTTTCCACCGCCACTATCATAGGTAGGAGAGGGAGGAGGAGAAGGAGGAAGAGGAGAAGGAGAAGGAGGAGGAGGAGGAGGAGGAGGAGAGGAAGGAGGAGGAGGGTAAGGATAAGGAGAAGGAGGAGGACCTCCCCATCCCCCGTCCTACGTATGTCTGTGGTGGTGGAAAATTGGCCCATCAGGGTAGGTTCGCGTCGTGTCGACCGGCGGCGATCCCGCCGCGGGCGTTCAAGGTTGAACGGTGCTGGTGGCCCAGATCGGCCAGTACGGAAGGATCTGGCGATAGAGAAACTGCCGACCGTCCAAGCTTGAATGATCGACGCGGGGTCAGAAACCAACGCTGGGGTCGTCACGACACTAACCTGCCGTACTCGGGCGTGCCCAGGACCGGGACAAATTGCGCCAGAGCGGTTCTGGCGGACTGCCAGGGGGTTATTAAGCGTGTGGAGCCAGGTTATTAAGCGTGTGGAGCCAGAGGGCCTCAAACGGACTTCAACAGCTCGTAGAGGCGGATTGCAGGAAAGTGGGCTAGAAAAGGGGGCGAAAAGTGAATGTTTCTTCGCCCCACGTCTGTTCCCTCCCGTTGACAAGCGCCCGAGCGTTCTCGAACGCTCTCAGAGCTCTCTGGAACGCCTCTGGAACGGCCGCGGCGCCCGAGACGTCCTCCAGAGCCTCCGCATGTCAGCGATACCCGATGCGTCCTGGTCCGACTCTGTCCCGATTTGGCTTGTCGTCAGGACCAATCTCGGGGTCCCCCCACCGGTGCGGTGACCACACGGTGTGGTGAGGCAGTGGGATTCGGGATAAGTGCATGCTTCGGGGACTCTTCGGCCGTTCTCCGAGGACATCTCTCGGGCGACTGGGGCGTCGAGGTCCTAAAGCCGTACGGTGACGGACCGTGCCGTGGGGTTTTTGTGGGTTCTCAGGTC